TTACAATTTTGTGATTTGGAGTAGTGTTTTTTTCAGAAAATGGAAAAAAACTTCAATTTTGTCTTTTTTATATTATGATGAGCGTTAGTTGCATTTTAGCATTCTACTTGTGTAAGCTTCTTGATTGATACAGTTCGTGTTTCGGTGTCAGAACAGGAAAAGTCAAAGATGTATGAAATGCGTTAAATATATTGATAAATTATGTTTTGAGTCTTCAAGCTCTTAATTATAGAGGATAATGTAGTGCAATTTTAAGGTTTTTGAATGTTCATGTAAAATTTACGATTAATATTACAAAAGTGCTGGAAATAGTGTTTATATTTTTAGAGAAAAGAGGGAATTGTCTTGAGTGAAATTCTAAGTGTTACACAATATTGTTTTTTTCATTATATTTCGCACAATTCTACAGAAACCATTTTAGAAATAAATAGTTATTAACATTTCCAACTCTTATCAAATTTCTATTGATGAACAAAACTGTTAGAACTAAAAATTAAACAACACATCTAAACAATTTTCAATTTTCGGAAAAAAACATAGGAAGATTGCTGATTTAATGGCACTTTTTTGGAGAGTTGTTTCAAGAATTAAAATGGCTTCCGTATAAACACTGTTTATGGGAATGAAGGATAAGACCAAAACCATTTGTTCATCGTTCTTCATACAGCTTCATCCACACTGTAAGGCTAATTTGCGATTTAGCCGGACACTATTAACATCGGCTATGATTTAGATCTTCAGTTCGACCAGATCGATCAGGAAAGCCCTATTATGGAAAATCATGTATACTGTTTATGGGCTAGTATTGTTCACAGACGGTCGAACACAAACGGGGAGACGACGATTATGAAAATTAAAGTAGACTTTTTCAGCACTAAGAACCTCTAATCACGCAATTTATTCATAAACAGGTCATTTTTTGTAATATATTATAGACATCTATATATTATGTGCATTTTCGTGTACACTACTTTTTGAAAATGTAAAAAGATAATTTTGTCCAGGTAGATGACATCTGCCTGGACCACCTGAAATTTTCTGACAGCAGAGCTGTGCTCAGCTGCTTGCCATCAGAACTCGAAAATAAGCCGTAACAACATAATTGAGCAATGGTCAAGATATGACTAAAGATAAGCGTGCAACAAACAAAAATATCGTGTACAGAATAGGATCAAATTTTTATTAAAATCTAATTAAAATCTAAGCAGTTAGTCTTCGATCAATGCATATATATTGATCGGAAACTTTGTTTAGACTAAGAAAAGTATGAACTAGTACAGTAGATGTATGGGATTGATTTGGAGTTCTTTTAGAAAACATTCCTACATTTTTAAGAACCAAGACAGACTTAGTCTTATAATCAAAAACGAAGAAAATATGTGACGTATGTCTTTTCCGTTGCAGTGTCTGGAAACGGTGAAATTCAATCAAAAGAACTCCAGCCGTCCAAGAGGTCTTTCAGAGCGGCGTCAGCTTTAGAGGTAAGCGTGCACAACGAGGAGATACGGCGACAAACCAAGCTAGCGTAACGTAACGTATGGCCGGTGCTGAGTGTCGTACGGCGGGTCACATTCTCAAACAAGATGACGCGAGGTATACAAGGGAAGGAAACCTAGACGAAGTTGATTGCCATCAGGAAAATAACTGGAAGCAATTGGTTGAGAGCAGTAGCTAACAGAGACATGGAGAGTTAGAGAAGAGGCCTTTGTTCAGGAAATAACAGACCGAGATCAGTAACAAAATTGGCAGGATAGAACAAATTAATAATCTCAGATCCTCTGAATATTTACACAATTTAATTTTGTTTTATGACAATTAATTTGGCTTCCCGGCACAATTTAATAACATTTGGCGCATCGATCTGGCGCTTTCCTGTCATGCGTGACAATACGGCGATCAATACAATCCACTGATAATGTACACGACTACACGCGAACATTACCAGCGACCAAATCTAGGATTTTTCGAATTCTAGCAGTGGGCTTGTAATCACATACACTGAAGGTGTTGAACGACGTAAATTCACTGCCGTGGGCAACACTTCTGAAGGCACAGCGGGCGACGTGGATCTGTGGACCTCCCCTCGCTAATCGTATTCTGGGCAGAGTCTGTGCAGCCGCGTGCCCGCTCCACCCTCCACGCCCCACCCCCGCCCCACCCATGCCCCCCGCTTTGATTTGTCACCGCCGTAAAGAGAACTCGAGAGACACCGGTTCATTAGTTGCGCGTCACATCGGTCGATCGTAAACATTAACTCGGCGCCGCTCACCGGTGCACAATAGACCGAAATGATGCAAAAAAGGGCGCAAAGCAACGAGTGCGTTGGTTTCCACGGCCGGACTCACTAAGTACTTGGCCGTTCGGGAGACGGTAAACGTCTTAGGTCACAAGGGCCAACGTCTATGCTACTATACTACAAGCTACATCAGGGCGAAATGTGCACTTTGCCCTGAGGAAGGTCGCGGAATGGTGAACGAAACGTTGACACCTGCGTCTGGGACTTAACGTCTCCTTGTAGCCACTCAGTTATCGCCCAAATCAAATTGTGTGTGTCCTCGAAGTAACTGTTTTAACCAATATAAAATGGACCGTGCAACATTCACATGTAAAAATGACCTACCATATGCTTCACTTCTTGTTCACTTTTTCAAAGCTGTTTACATTCAGCGTTTGTTTGTACGGTGAGGAGTATCAGTACATCACCGTCTACTCGCAGAATGAAAGCATACTATTTAATTTTTTTTGTATCTCTTGAAAAAAAAACTTTTCCGTTAGATATCATTGTCTTTTTACATATTCAGTAATACTAAACATCGGTGGTTGAATCGAACTACTTTTACCGTCAGTAAAATTCTTTATTTCAACTGAATCAGAGCAAACAAAAATGGCACATTATGACGGTTTTGAGTTAACAGTCGGAAAGCATTCTTAAAATATAAATTCAAGTTCCTTGCGTAAAATTACATGGCCGTTACCTCTGTGACGAGTGGAAAGTGTCCTTCACTGTTAATGCTAAGAAAAAATGTTCGATATCTGGAACTTATAAACTTTTTGCTTGCTCTAAAAAATTTGTAACTCTTGGACATGGAACGTTTTTGTTTTCTCCGATTATAATATCCTCTAGCTACCAAGCTTTCAACAATATCCTGTTACAAAACAATCGGTGGTACTTTTTCAAGAGTTTGATCTTTATTTATTATTGTTTTATTATTTTTACTCTTTAGGGGATGCCTTTTGGGCCAGTGTGTGGCGGGGTAGTTTTAAGGGCGTTTTCACTCCCTGGCAACACGCGGAGGAGTTTTATTTCTCCTCCGGTCACTAATTCCGCCTTCCGCCGAATGGGGGCGGAGGTTGGGGGGGGGTCGCTCTTCGTTTTTCATATCCCTCCTCGACCGGCGCAGGCCGCTCCCCGCTTTGTTCTCTGCGCCGCCGTGAGCTGCGTCATTAACCCGCGACAGGGTCGCCAACTTTCCAACGGTGCGACTTTTCAAAGTCCCTTTACCATGAGACAGTTGCGTGCTGACAAATGCGTGCTATTCGGTGCTGTTTGAACTTTTCACGATACTGCTTTGCTGCTAGTCAGAATGCCATATTTCTTGCGGTTTTCCGAGCACGATAATGCACAGCTGCAGGTTACAAACAGTACAATGTTGGCAATATTTTGTTGTCTCGCACAAATTCGCGGAGTAATGGAGACTTTGAAGCAAGAAGTAAAATAGTTCTAATTGATAATTTTGCTTGTGATGCCTCTTTCGGCCTACGCGGTTGCGAGAAAGTGTAGTGTAAATGCTAGGCTTTATAAAAGAATACTCTTTTGAACTATTTTATAAGTCGAGAAAGAAGCGTAAGAGAAAAAAGAATAGATCGGAAGGAAAAGTAAGAAGGTACACAAAACAACAGGAATAATTTACTGCAAAAAGGCTTAAAGAAAACTAGCACAACGAACCTGGATTAACTTAGATTCTATGACTATCTAGAGAGACTCAATTTCTTTGTGAGATGAACGTGTGTAACGCAGAGATGGTACTGTTATACATTACAATACATGTAATATTAATTATACGTATTAATATAATAATATAATATGTATATGGGTATATGCCTTAATTATATTATTATATGTAATTAAGAAAGGAAACAATAGGTTGAAAGTTCAAATATTATCAGGTCTGGAAGCTATTGTCTATGATAATTATTTCACTAATCGACTAGACAAATGTAACTGTAATCATTGTTACTCTTTATACAAACTTTATACAAACATGCTTTTAGTTTCCTTATCAAAAGAAGTATTTTCGGATTATGCTAGAAATATAAACAATGTGGGATGGTCAGTTCTGCGTAGCAACCGCCCCCGTGAAGTGTAAATGAATTAGAACAGTTAGATTTTCAGGGGCTAAAATTTTCTTTGCCAAGTTTTCCTTGTAGCTTTTCCGTTGATCATATTATCAGCATATTTTGAGTATATATTGCTTCATCCAGACTAAGTACTGAGCATTTTCCCTATTATCTCGGAAGTAAGTTTACATGATATTCGCTGTATCTATTCTGATATTCTATCCAGATTTTCTCGTTGATTCCTACGAGTGGCCCAACAAACCACTCCTTAACTCTTCGAACTGAACTTGAGTCGTAAATCGAATCATTACATTTAATGCTGGCTCCTATAATCGTAAACGAGTTATAGGAGCAATCGGAAAACTGTTCACTTACCTATGTGAATATTCTACCTGCCTTCTCGGGCCTCTTTGCTCATCGAGTTGCCAGAAACACACTCTGATTCGCCGAAACGGAGGTTCGATTTCCTCAGAGGAAGACGAAGAGTACGCGCAGAAGACAATATGCTGTGGCTCTTGGCTTTATTTGAGATGGGAATCGGGAGAGGTACAAAGGGCATCTTCCGGCAGGATCGATTTCTTCTATTTCCCAGAGGTGTACTTTTCTCTCCCTCGTCCTCCTCTGCCTCATTTTTTTCGCTTCTCAGCGGCGCCTCAGCGCGTGACTCGTGGAGCCGGGCGCGGAGGAAGACGCTGCGAACGGTACATCCTTCAAAGGCAGAACCACTAACGTCCATTTTAAATACGTTCGTAGTCAACTATAGTTTAACACAATGTAACTGAAAATGACAGGCCCAAGACGTAGTTGTTTGCTATTTTTCATAACTACGTGTTTTAGATAAGATGCGTTAGCTGGGAGAGTACTTTTAATGCAGTAGTTGGTAGTTTTAATAATGTATTACAACTACTTCCTTCTGATGTATTTAATTTACATTTTAGTTTTTATCTATTTATCTTTTATCTTGAATTCATTTTAAAATCTATTTTTCTTCTTTTCCAACAGTTTAGTTCAAGTTCTGATAAAAGATTTTTTGGTAGAAACTTTCTTGGCAAGTAATTAACTTTATTGACAAAAGAAATGTTAGAAACATTGTACGAAAGTGCGAATTAAATTTGAGTTTTCGAATTATTTAATAAAAAAATAGAAACCCAACATTATTTGATTGGTTTCTGATATACCAAAAATATTTATTAATACAATGCAAAATGTACATGCACTGAAATGCATGCATTTGTAAGCATTTCATTCGCACTTGATTTTGGAACTTAAATTAAACCAATATTATTACAAAAGACATATAAAAATTGTTTAGGTTCCACCTCGCAAATGTAGAACTGTAGATGCTTTGCGAATTGATTAATTTGTAATAATATTTTATGATGTACCCAAATTTGGGGCAATATTTTGAGAACGCAACCCCTCCTATTTCTGAATTTTTCAAGTGTTGTATAATATTCGATAGCAATCACTCTTGTAGTTCAAAAGTCATTGAGAAGAAACACTTGCACATTCATTAATTTATAAATTAATAATAATAATAATAATAATAATAATAATGTTTTTAACTGAAGAAATTGGAAGCACTGATAGAAGATTTAAATCGTTATTGTTTGGTACTTACACATACGAATCTCATTTATCAAAGCTCTTTTTAATTACATCGATGAAATTATTGGTTCTAGGGATACAGACAAGCGCATTCCAATGTCACATTTTGTGATATATGTAGAAAAGAGGAAAGAGTTCTATAATCGCAATTGAGTTTAGTCACATATTCTCAACACAGGAGGATAAAATTATGACCCGAGTGAACGGAGAGAGGGGAAGCTTGAACAAAGGTGTAAAAACATTTGTGAAATATATGGCTCTCATAACAGAATAAATATGATTTAATCACACAGACGTAAATCTAACGCAATGCTACCGATTTTGTATTCAATAATTTGAAGTCGCATAAAACTGAAGTTTTAATAGATGATGGTAATTTTTAAAATTTGATAGGTTTTAATGGAAAAAAGCAATATCATGTTTATAAATGTACTTTTCTCTATTTAAGCAAAAATATAAAGAACATTTCAACCATTTTAAGAAAATGTTCCAAATATCATAGATGATTCATGTTAAGTACCTTCAAAAATTATAATATCTTAATGATTTTTGGAACGGCCCACCTTAACCTTACTCCCGACGTGTGTACCAAGTTTCAGTTAGTTCAAAACCTTCCAATGTGACAGAGTTATGTGCAACACATACGCACAGGGAGAGCTGGCTGAGGGAATCGCCTGGCGTCAGTCTTTTGTCTCTGATGTGGAGGTCCCACGTTCGAGTCCCGACGGTGGCAGGAACTTCGACAGTGGCTAGTTGGCTAGGTCAAAATCAGTTGCTGTATGGCAGAGAATTCTAGCGGCCGGCTGCTCTGATCGGCAGGGTTCCGTGATTTCTCCCATCAACTCCCGGCGAATGCCGAAGCAGTACCCTAACAAATGGGCCGCTGACCGCGCGCAATCATTCCTTCATCTTCCTTCACATATTCTCATCGCTTACTTACACACACACTACAAGCACTAGCATACCGCACACATACACACACGCCGGGAGACCAGTTGGGAGCTTAGAACTTGCTACCGGAGGGGGCGGTGCACCGCTGGTGACAAATACCTGCTGGAGGAAATCTTCGTTAGCCGACGAAGGTCGGCGACGTATCTCGTCATCCACTGAGGGAAATTCACCGCTACCTCCCGAGGGGGACACACGAACTACACTTTCAGGATTAATGACTAGCAATTGACGCACCCGAAATCACTAACAATCAATCACAGAGCTTGTAGCAGGTGGTAAGTTCTTGCTCAACCATCGCAGGCTCTGATCTGTAGTCTGCGAAGTGGATCAAAAACTGTCGTCTCTCGGAGAGAGAATTGAGAAACATTCATAAACGTGTTCCAGATGCTCTTCAAATGAAACAAAAAATCTTCAAGAGGTTGAGAGGCCCTGCGTTGGCGCTTTTCCGCAGAGTTGCTCTACCTGATGAAGCCCTGAACTTCCCAGCGATCTGGCTGCGGTCAGCAAAAGACTCATAGGAATGAGGCGGGGAAGGCGGAACCAGGGGGGCTAGGGCATGACGTGGCTATGCAGTGGTGTTTGAGGTTGTGATGCAGGGTATTGTGTGGAGGAAAATGAACGTTTCCGCTAAATGGGTAACCGCATTTAGCTATCATAAATATCACAGCTACTATTTAAATGAAAGTAATAATTGAATTGCACATTAATGGGCTCGCCTATATTGGTGATGGTTCGTTTAGTAGAAATTGACATCTAACATGACTCGTTTATGTTTCTCTACACAGTAAACTATGTCATGTCCGAAAACTCAACCTTACGTCATGTCATCTCCTCGTCTCTGTACTTCCGCTTCCATCGATGAAATTCTTCGTTCTGATGCCATAAGTCATCTGTATTCTTTTCGGGGAACATTTTTCCAGCAGATCACGGGATGGAGAAGAAAAGGCGAGGGAATTGCTTTTAAATTAAAGCGACTTGTCACCCTAGCCCAGGCAGAAGTTTTTTCGGCTCAAAGAATGCAATTTTGTTTTTGTACACCATTAAATTCTTTGAACTTTTCTGAACAAGGTGGCATATTTTGTTTTTTATTTCGGATATTTTAAACATTTTAAATAGACATTTCAATAACGGCGCCATGTTGTTTTAAATGCCTCTAAGGGCAACATGCCCCTTTTCGTGTCATATTCGAATAACGGTTATTAAAGATTTTCTAAATGTATGTGTATCATTGGAAACGTGCGCTGTGTTTACAAAGTATTCTTTGATGAAGTTGTGGCTGACTTCTGCTGTTCCTCGGTTTTGCGAAATGGGCCGAGTACGAAAATTTGGGAAAGAAAAGTTGTAATCATCGTTGTACAAAACCAAGCAGTGCTCAGAGCTAATGACACTGCAGTGTCTCTGATCGGAATGGTCCTCGGTTCGAGTCCCGACGGAGACAGGATCGGCACTAGCTAGATAGCTATGTTGAATTCGTTCGCAGTCTGTAGGATGATAATAGCGGCTTTGATTGGTAGTTTCCGTAGTTAGATCGGTCTGGAGCTTAGAGCTTGTTCCGGCTGGGACGATGCCCCTCTGGTGGGAGATACCTGTGTGAGGAACCCCCCCCCCCTAGCCGATGGTAGGTCGACACCACAAGTCGGTATTCTACGGAGGAAGATCACAGTCTCCTCTTGAAGAATACACGTGCACTACACTTACAGGACTAATGCCATTAGGAGTTGACGCGCTAGAAATCACTAATTAATCAATCAATCGTTTGCTAGACTAACCTTTTCCATGTGGAACTTTAATAAAGATTTTTTATTCAGCCTGTGAATATAGGATTGTTGGTAAAGTGAAAAAAAATTATAGAAATAAATTTATAACATTTAATTTATAAGTAAGACACTAACAATTATTTCTGGTATCTGCATTTCTTTCGCTAAATCAGATTGGCCGAAAGTACGGAAAAGTGTGTGGGGACTGCAGTGTGAGGACCATTGCAGAATATGTGGGGAAGCACGTGCGAAGCTACGAAGAGAGAGAGAGAGAGAGAGAGAGAGAGAGAGAGAGAGAGAGACAGAGGGAGGGACAGNNNAGTGACAGAGGGGAGAGAGAGTGACAGAGGGAGAGAGAGTGACAGAGACAGGCAGGGAGAAAGAGAGTGACAGAGGAATAGAGAGACATACAGACAGAGGAAGAGAGCGTATTCCTCGCCTTGTGTCTTGCCGGAGCCCACGTCCAGCGCTACTGCAGAGATTTGCACAGACGAGAATGGCCGCCCGCAGCTGTCCGGCAACCTATCAGACGGTAGCAGATAACGGGATCACAAATCATGGCCCAACAGCCTCCTCGCACGCGACCCCCCGGCTCATCACGGAAGGGCGACTCGGCCGCGCACCCCCTCCCCCTCCCCTCCCTCGCCCTCCTCTCTCCCCCACCCCAGCAGCCCCGGCTGCACTTTCGGGCTGCGACACTCGCCCGCCGCACTCGCTCCCCCTGCTTCCTCCACCCAGTCCCCGAGAAGGTAGAGCTCGTATAATCGCATGCGATCATGTGGTTCGGATAGTGTTATTCAAAACTAATCGAATCAATTTTCATTTAAAATGTGAACATATAGATAATCCATTTTTACTTTCTCGCTACGGAGTAGAGAGAAAGTTATGTAATACTGCGCGAAACCCGCAAATTTTCGGCAGAAAATCTCTTATTACAGGGCTCTGGTAACAAACAAGTCGGTAAATCCAGTTTGCTAAATTTAGAAAAATATCCTCTAACCTGGTGTACTAATCCTTGCTTTCTGAGTTCTTGATACCGAAACATCGAATGATGGCAAAACATCTGTCTACACCTCCGTCCGTCTGTAAACAACGCTCAGCCAATTTTCTTCAAAGTTGATATTTCACAATCAATCGAAAATATGAGTACTTTTCTGGTCTGGGTGAAAAAATGGGCGAGAAAGTACGTGCTGTTTTAGCACCACTAATTATTAAAAATTCTCCAGGAACAAAATTAATTGTATTTATGTCTCTTTCAAAGTAAAAATATAGGGATTACTGGCTCAAACTGACTTCCCATTTTCCTAATAAGAGGAAGAAATACAAAATTCAGGTTCACAGGTAGCGTGAACGAGCGTCAGTTGTTTGGAGTGACTACACCAATTCCTTCTTGCGCGGGGACGTTTCCTAACACATGAAAAGTTGGTAACATTTAATTTATTGAAGTAGTATTTGCCAACGTTTTTTTTTCGTGGTGGCGAAAAGGTATGTTGGTATGTTGGTACGAAAGTTGGTATGTTGTTTTAAATAAATCTTTTTATTATACAATTATTCAATACATACACTGTGATATTGTGTTATATTTATTTCCTAAAAGACGCTTATTGTCAGTTAATTGAAACATATATGCCTTTTTAAAATTCCCTGTTTCGATAGTTCCACTGATATTATTCGATAGTTTATTTGAAGACTATCGATAGTTATACTTGTGAGTTTCAAGGCACCCTCCAAGGAGGTGGGTGCGGCCCGTACCTCGCTCCGGAGTCCATGGATGTCAAGTTCGCTCATGGAGGTCAAGGGGGCTAGTGAAGGCCCACAAGCTGAAAGCACCATGTGCCTCAAAAGGCGTCCCATAATTTTTTATGAATTTTGAAAATCTCTGTAATTGAGATTTTACCGTTCCTTATCTTTTATAACTTTGCAAGTTTCCATTTTTTCAATATGTATTCACGCGTTTGTCTCAGTATTTTGTGTCATTACCTTTTGACATACCGCGAATTCTGGAAAAAGCACTAAAAGCCGGTTTGAATAGTTCTGCACCGGATGACTTGTTTCATCTCAAAGATCTTCCAAGGGGTGTAACAAAAAATTATTTTTCATATATATATTTATTGTTTATCTAATGTTACAAAAATATCAACAGTACATTTTTAATAAACGTACTTCTAGAAAGTTTTTTATATCGTATTGACAATAGCAATTAATTTTCACCAGTTATAAATATTGTATAAGGGAGTTATATCACTGGTAATATTTAAAGAGATATGAAGAGTTAAAGCATGCGATAAAGTATGAAATGTAGTTAACGACACAGAATTTATCCAAATTTTGTTACTTGTCATCAACGTCAACATTGACATTTTCATTCAGTAGCCCAAAATCAATATCGGGATGATGAGAATATTTAATCTTGGGATATTGATAATTTTGGTCAGTTAAAGGCAAAAAAAATCCACCAATCCGAATCCATTGATGTATTCAAAACAACTATTCGAGGAAAACATTACACTCCCAAAACAGGCATTTCTCTCAGGAAATAACTTCGGGTTTGCTTTGTACTGCTATTGTTGGGATGGATATTCTAAAATTCCTAAGGATTTAATATTGAGCAGAAAAAATTTGCAAACAGAAACCCAGGTCAATAAATACTTTATGGTAGTATAAATGTAGTTCCGTGGTGGTTACTACTAGCTCCATAGACTGAAGAATCTACTTTTTTCAAAGATCTATCGATGCGTATTTATAACGACAGAAAAACCTAGTGGCTAGGGATTTTTTTGTAGGTAGAGATTTCATTAGTGTTCAACGATAATGCTACTTGCCACACACGTTTGTCTTTATTGCCATTATTCCTCACTCATTTTTTATTCATCAGTTTGCCATTTTTTTAATTGCCTGTCATAATGCTCTCGGTACTTATTTATTATATACGAATTACTATTACTATATCGTAATTCTTTCTGGATTCCAACTTTCTCGCGGTTCCTCCATTGGTGAGTTTTTCGCTTTCTACATCCCTTACTATATGCTGCTTCATCCAAACTTACCTAACAGCACAATTTCTGTTCCGTTTTCAATCAACGGTACTAATTTTTCACTCGTCTCCCTAATCTGTTTTTCATTTCCGCTCTGCAATGGTAAAATGATTTGAATCCCTGCATCTATTCACCACCTTCCCACTTCCGTTGTGAATTCCGGGACTTTTATTGGCTCCGCTTGACCCATAGACAGCTGCTGTAACATGGGATTAAAAATGTTTGATGAAAATATTGGGACTATCATGTAGCTCAGATTTTATCTCGCTAAATGTGATCAGTCGCGAATATTCACAGTATTTTTGGTAAAGGACATCATGTATTCTTCGACAATGTTTCACTCTGTTCTTCAAAGAAACGGCTGGTTTCACAACATCTATACTTTTACACGTTATAACAGCCGTACAACCATTTCAGAAAGAAAATTTACTCATTAATGTGTTTATTAATTACCAATTTATGAATATGATGTACAAACGGCAAATTTTATTGATGTAGAATTAATTTGCGAAAGATTTGAACTTATAATACTTTTTACATCCCATTTAAGAGTACTTATTTTAAGGAAAAAAAAGTTCTAGAAAAGTTTTCTCCAAAACAACACTTAACGAAACATGTTAATTAAACAAAATCGTTTTTATTATCTTGTTCAATGCTATGCTATTAACCAAACTTCCTAAATAAAATGCCTCGTGGATATAAAATTCCTACATGTGAGTAGTTTCG